TAATAACTACAAAACGATTAACAATAGGACTCCACATGTAGTAGCAACAAAAATGATATATTAATACGAAGTACTTACTAACACAGAATATACATAATATATGATATATACATGTAACCCATAATAAACCACAACCGACTAAATAAATTATGGAGTATCAATCAAGTACAAAACAATAATGAAATCTTATACGGAGTAATATTATAAACAACAGTACTTTTAATCACACTCACCAGCCACAAAAATGAATAATTGCATGTAAATCAAAATAGGAACCTGTTGCACAATAGTACTAAGTCGGCAGCCCATACTCATGCTTTGACATACAATTAATAATTATCGGGCTAATCATGCCTAAGAGTACCGAGAAGCTTCAACTGAGAAGTATAAATAGGGACAATGGGTTAAGAAATTCTGCACACTATCTACACTCCTGCGCATACTTACAGATTATATACACTCATATACATACATATAATATATATCTATATATTTATATACTTATGCTGCGGCAAGTATATACACCCCAAAAACGAGAGCTAAAAACATCTCAAACGTAGTCTCTGAGAGTAGGGGAAAAGGAATATGTAGTTGTTGAGAGGAACGAAGGTCACCGGAGAGAGGAAAACGATTGCCGGAGTTTTGCCGGGCTAATCTTCACGACTGAAACCGGAGGAAGGACATCTGCCGCCGAGTCACAGCCACTTCCGAACGTCGCCGTCGCCGAACGCCGCCACCTATCAACCCTTCCGTCGTCTAGTAGATTAAAACAAGGTATCTGTGTTTCTCTCTCGTTTCCGACATTTCTACGCGAAGAAGACGACCAATTTATTTTATTGGAATAGCTAGTCTCTATATTATTAAATGGACCACTTCTTTTAAAATATCTGGGCCGCACCTTTGTTGCTAAGAATGGGAAAGATAAAATTTGATGAATTGGTCATTTTTCTGTTGGGTTAATAATAATAATAATAATAATAATAATAATAATAATAATAATACTTGGATTGTTTATTATTTTAGAACCATTACTAGCTTAATCGGTTAATTAAAGTATAAGGATGTTAACTATATTAATTAGAGAGTAAATTAAGACAGATCAAATGATATAATAACATAATACAATTCGGATACACTACAATTAAGGTAACTCAAAAATTAATCATATACATTCGGATATTTAATAATATTAATATATAATTAATTAGAGGGATATTTTATGAGTACTAGATTAAACTAATAATATTGATTAATGGTTATTAGTAAATTAAGACTGTTTTGATATTCTTCGGATATGTTATAATGTTAACTATACGTTGAGTACTGCATTAAATTAACAGTAAACTAAATAAATAAAAAGGGCTAATTGAAATTAGTAAATAAATAAGATAGGAATTTAGATTAAGAAATAAAGAGATGTGATTAATAAAAGTGATTAATTAATAATTAAATTAACTATTGAGTTAGTAAATACGTATATATGGGTGGGGGAATTGAATACATTATTAAAAATGGAATAAACGACTAATTATCATCTTAATTAAAAAGGTGATTATTTAGAGACCGGAATAGACGAGAAGGACTAGAAGCGTCACATTCCGAGGTAAGTCACATTGCAACCAAAATTATATTTTTACCTGGTAAGTAATTATTTATATGATATGTGTGATTACATGGTGGTATGAATATTTTAAAAGATGAATTATTTGTGAGCAAGTTGTAATTGTTGTGATTTTGACATATATTGGATTACATGTATATGTGGGATATTTTGAGAACATATATAGTTAAGAATTTAAGGATAAATAATTCTTGTGGTGAAACTCTGTCCAAGAGACATAAATATGGAATTTTTGGAAAGACAAGATAAAAGTATGTTTTCATAATTGGGGCACCGCGGGAGAAATCCGTAGGTGTCGGGCCATCTTCACGTCCGTTAATGGTGAAGGAGGGTTAGGACTACTACTACTTGAATTGAGAGTCTTGAGACAAATTAAATGAATTTTGGAGGGTTCGGTAACCACCCCGAACAATTGGGCATCAGATCCCTTTTATTAAAACAGTAGTAGTAGTACCTATTCTCTTAAGGGTCTTTGAACCTAGAACTTAGGAAGTATATTCCATTTTGAGTAGGGAGACGTTGACGTCAGAACTACTTAGACTTCATTCTACCCATAGGGCTTGGAATCCCTTTAGGGGGTGTGCACACTTAAGGTAGGAGTCTAGATTCTAATAGAGGAGATGAGGTACCGAGAGAGATCGGGGTGACCGTACAGAACAACGGATCACTGGGCTCAAAAATCGAAATAACGCTTGAGCACCGCCCTTCTAAATGATTAGGAGAATTAGCTATAAAGCTATTTTGAGGAAAAGCAAATACTCTTGTACTTGAGAATTATTCTTTGGAATACTTATAAGAAATTTTGAGGAAATCATTGGGATTATTACTACTCTTTTGAAGAAAACCATTTTTGTATATATTATGTACAAATTCTTATTTTTCACCAAACCTATTATTTTACGGGGTTGGGTGGGATTTACTTAGCTCTAAAGCTAATTTTTGTGTTATTTGTTTCTTTTATTTTTCTTATGTTACAGATGATGTGGTGTATGAAGACTGATGTCTTGAGAGCGCTACTAGAAGACTTTTAGAGAAGCTAGTCTCATTACAATAATCTTTGTTCGTTTACGCTATTTTAAATGTTGAACTTTAAATCTTCACTTTGGTTACAATTATGGTGGATAGCCTTAACATCCAGTCCGATGAGGGCTGGGTGTGGCGGTGACACGCCCTTTTCCTTGTCGTTGTTTAATTACCGCTGCAAACATCTGAAAGTTTAAATAAATAAATCAACTTTACTATTTCTTTATGTATTATTTTGGGAGGGAAATTTGGGGGTGTTACATGTGGGTTTTGTCTCCAATCACTCCCTTGAGCTTGTGTCCGCCCCTCAGCTCCCATGTTTTTGTGTCTCATCTACACTATTTGGAGTCTACAACACATGTGGGAAAAGTCCCAAGTGGGTGTAGGAAGTTTCCCCCGATTATTTCCGCTATTTCTGGCAGGCTGGGTCAAAATAGTACTTGGGTTGGTCCAATATTTTCCCCAACCCCGGTTGGCATTTTTATTGGGCTTCTATAATTAGTATAACAACCCAACTAAATATTTGGTAGCCCATTCTCAATATTATGGGCCCGATAAATAATTTAATTAATCATTCATTAATTAAATATACCATTCTTTTACACGAAAATATTCGTAAGAAAAATTTAAATACATACTGAATATTAAATTCAAGTACATACGGGCGCGGTGTCACAGCTTTGATGTTCGGAGTCGAGCGGCAGTGTGGCATTGAAGAAGGTAGAAGAGGTGCTGCTATTCAAGATTAAGGGGGATTCCACAAGGGGTTTATCAGAACTGACATTGAATGAATTTATCGAAAAAAGAAAAAACCTAACCCCGTTTTGAGTTTCTATGTCCGTTAAAATGTTAACTGTTATTGATAGAAATTAATATTTCAAATTCTAACCCATTCTGTAACGTAAAACTTTTAGTATTTATAAATTTAACCCCGTGTGTGGTTTCAATAACGTTTAAATATGAACCCATATTAAAAGGTTAGTTATTAAATCCATATTTTGCACTAGTGATTATGAATTAAAACAATTAATAAACTAATCAAATAGTCATCTTAGACTTATCTACTTCCAAGTAGAATTCTTTTATAAAATTTTGTGAGCATGTTTTTAATCAAGTGTAGATCATGTTCACAAAATTTCAACTTAAAATTCAATTGGAAAGTGTTGAATAAATTGTTGAAAAATGTAACTCTATAATATTAATAAAAAACATAATGTTTTTTATTAATTTAGTTTACTGAATTTTAGATTGAATTTTAAACAGAAACTTTGTAGTTATGTAGTACTACGTACTATGTACTACCTCCGTCCCTTTTTAGTTTGCCAACTTTGACTTTTCCAATCAAAGATGATAAACCTGGATCCATTATTTTAACTAATATATTTAGAAAATATTGCCCGAAATAGGACTAAAAAGGTTTGAAAATTCCAAAATAGGATTGTCATGTTTTTATTCCCAAAATAGGACTAATTACTTTCATGTTTTGACAGCACCAGACTTCAAACATAGCAATGTTTTCCAAACTAAGCAGTAATTACTGCTATTTTGGGAATAAAAAACATGACATTCCTATTTTGGAATTTTCAAACTTTTTTAGTTCTATTTCGGGAACTTTCCCATATATTTATGTAAAAGTTAATAAATTTAAATATACTTTTATGATAATAGTTTCAACAAAGAACATTTTCATATAATTTTCTTACTACCAATATTACCGTGTATAAATATATAATGGATCAAAGTTGAACAACTTTGACTTGGAAAATTTGTGTTTGGCAAACTAAAAAGGGGTGAAGGGAGTATAATATACACATCACTAAGAACACGCTCATAAATTTTTATCAAATAAATCCATCCAGAAGCACTTCAGAAAATTCAAGTAGAAAAAATATTACTCCGTAAAAAGAACTAAGAGCCCGTTTGGAGAACTCTGTTTTCGGCTTATCAGGCTTATCAGCCAGCTTTTTCACCAAACACGTAACTTTTACTTTCGCGCGCTGAATTGTGTAATAAGCCGAAAAAGTAAGGTTGGAGTTACTTTTCTGGCTGTATTGGCTGAAGTTACTGTAGAGGACCATTTTAGCTATTTTTACATATAATTTTTTCTTTAATTTATTAATAAAATATATTTTTAAAATATTTTTTTCTTAAATCAGCAGAATCAGCCAAAACAGCCACTCTAGCCAGAATATCATAAATTTCAGCAGAATCAGTCAAAACAGCCGATTTTGGTGCTACCAAACGGGCTCTAAATCGTTTTTTTTTATTAGGCCTCCCCTCCCCCCGCCAATCCAGGCCTCCCCTGCCACCTATATTAAGAACCTTAGCTTCGATCACGGCTCTAAAAGATTATACGATCCAGATAATCTTCAGTTCTTCCCGGCCTTTACACGGAGTAATAATTAGAAGTTTAGAAGCTTCGCTCTGCAGACACGCTCAACAGTCAACACAAGCTTATTCAGTTGCGTCTTCTCCTTCTTGCTGTCCGGCAAGTCACTGAGATACTCAACTCCGGAGCTTTATAATTTAGCTACACCATCAGTAAACGAAAAATGAAGCAAATGTTTGGCGGCCCGGGAGAGATCAGCGGCATTATACTGAGGATGCTACAGGGCACTTTTGCCGCTATTGCCCTCGGTATTTTAAGCTCTGTTCCTGGAGTTTGTACCAATACTCCCTTCTGGTAGAGCTCCTTCAATTCTTATGTTCCGTATTGTTCTGGCTTTTTGAATGAAATGCATGTTACGATTACTTGTTGTGGAGTACGGAGTATTATTTTTTGACTTTGTGTTTATTTGATCAGCTTCCTACTAGTTCAACAGTGTGTTCAAATCATATGGTGCTTTATGCTTATATGCCTTGATCTCAAGGTTCTGGTGTCTGGGGGGAGGCTACCCTCCCCTATCCATGTGATGGTGAACCTTGCTTTTGATTGGGTACATCTCTTCATTATACTTTATTTAATAAGTTGTCTTTTAAATTATTTGCATTATGTATGGTACTCTTTTGAGTTAGACATATATTTTTATTTATGGAGTAGACAATTACAAATATGCAAATTGAATAGGCTAAAGGGTCAAATAGGCCCTTGAACTAACTTAAAGTGTTCAATTAGCCCCTTATATAGGAGGTTCGGCCCGGTCATCGCCAATTGGAGAGGTTCCCGGTGGAATTGTTTGATGAAAATTTTTGAGCATCTTCTTCATTAAGTCTAGTTTACTCATATCAAATTTCAGCTAAAAATTGAATCGGGAAAGCAGTCAAATGATTTTCCGAAATGTACTGTGTTGTTTAACTGCGCAATTATCTTCAAAAAATCATTTGATTGCCTTCCCGGTTAAATTTTTAGCTGAAATTTGGTACGGGTAAACTAGACTTAATGAAGAAGATGCTAAAAAAATGTCATCAAAAAATTCCACCGGGAACCGCCTCAATTGACGACGGCCGGGCGGAACCTCCTATATAAGGGGCTAATTGAACACTTTAAGTTAGTTCAAGGGTCTATTTGACCCTTTAGCCAATTGAATATACGATGTATCATGTATGCAGTGTATATGGATGTTATCTCTTGGAGCTGCATCCTCAACCGCGTCGGTGGTTGAGTTGTTCTGGGCCAACTCCATCTGCGAAAAGTGGCGCGAGTATAACTGCAGACGTTACCAGGCGGCGGTTGTCATGGCCTTTATTGCCGTGGCATTCCAAGCAATCTCGGTTCATATCTGGATGTGGATTGCAGCCTCCTCCTTTTTGTGAGCCTTTTTTTATTTCTACAGCCCTCCAGCTACCTATTATAGTCATGCATGTGCCTATAGTACGTACATACTTCCTCCATTCTTAAATAAATGTAACAGTCAACATTTCACATTTGCCGAGACACAACTTTGACCATTAATAAAAATGATTTTGTATTAGTAAAAAAATTGAAAAAATTAGATTATGAAAATTTACAATGAGACAAGTTTAACAATATTTTTTTCATAAAATAATATTATTACATTAATAAATAAAACGTAGTCAAAGTAGAACATGCGAATAGTGTAGAAGTCAAAGTGTTGCATTTATTTCAGAACGGAGGTAGTATGATGAATATATATTGATTGAGCATTACCTACTTTACTACTTATACACTTATACTTATTTATGGAAAGTTTGAAGCTAACCAAAAGTATTACCAGTACTAGTATTAATAGTTACTAGTATTATAATATGGTCGTATAGCCAGTAGCTAGCTACTTAAATGTACAATTGTGAACATTAATTGCATGACTAAAGTACGTTACTACGGAGTATTATACTACGTATATAATTAATTAATGGTTTTTTGCTTTTTGCTTGGCAAAATTAACAGGCCCAGGCTGCATTAACCGTCGGCGTGCTCGGTAGTGCTCCATTTTTATTTGCGGCTTATGATTTGTTTTATGATTTCACCAAGTAATATACACCTTAGTAATTAGTGTATTAGAAGTAGCTTAATTAGGATGGTTTTGTATATTAATTGTAGTTCTATCTTGTACAATTTTATTGTAATAATATAAATCTTGTCTCGTCTGAGTTTCATATTCGAAAGTTTGATCGTTTTTAACTTTTTACCACCGGGTGAATGTGTGAATGTGTGAATGTATTGTCCATATAAATTAGAATAGAAAAATAAAGTAGAGATCTCATTACCCATTAGGCCATTACTACGACATAATAGAGATCGAACTCTATCAATAAGATCTTCTAATAACTCACTATATTTTTAATTGGACTGATTTCAATTACAAATTAGATCGGATCAGATAAATTCAAACGGTACTACATACACTAAATTAGACCAGATCATACTAGATTAGACTTAAATATTAATAAAATATAAATAAAACATACATTTGTCGGATCAATTTAAACCAGACAACATCATATGAGACTTAATTAAAAAGATCGTACTAGACCAGATCAGCACCGAAACTTTCAGCTCAATTAAAAATATCATTTGTTCTAATAGTACATATATATTAGCGAAGTAAAAAAATATAATGTTGTTTTTAATAAAACAGCACTCCATTGTATCTATCTATTTTCCATGATGTAAATGCAAAATGTTGTTTCAATTAGCGAACTAAAAGCTTTTAAACAACAATGTGTCAATGTGTGCATGTACGTGATGATGCAAAATAATGGGCTTGGGTGAATTATTGTTCACAAAACAAGTGGTTAGTGGCTTGTACGGAGTATTATTGTTTGCCATTTTTGAGACAACATCGTTCACAAAATAAGAATTTACTGGCCACCATTACTGTCCATTAGTAGCTCGATCACTAACTCGATGGGTATCGTCATATCGTCGATACTAGTACTCCCTCCGAAAAGGTTAGCCAAAATTTACTTTCACCTCAATCAATAAAGTAAAAATTGTGTGGTCGAAATTTGTGCAGAGGAGAAAGAATTAACTTTAGCCACATATTCCTTACTTTGAATGAAAATGACAAATATTTTTGGGACATCCATAAAAAGAAATTTGGCCAACCTTTTTGGAACGGAGGGATTATAAGATTTAACTGCGACGTACGGAATCCCCAGTTTAAAATCTCTTTTGGTACAACTGTACAACACACAAATGAAAGGTATTCTTTTTATACTCTCATCCGCAACTATTGTTTCCATTTTACTACGTACTTTGTATATATATACATCATATGTTCTTTTTTAAATACAACGGTCCACTTTTCACATTTGCTAACGCACAAGTTTGACCATTAATATACACGTTTGCACTTGTTTAGTAAAAAGTTAAACAAATTAGATTTTGAAAATTTGAAATGAGAAGAATTTAACAATATTTTTTTAAATTTAACTTATAATGCATCATTAAATAAAACAGAGTCAAAGTACAACATGTGAATAGTGGGAAAAGTCCAATATTGCATTTAAAAAGGAATGAAGGAAGTATTAAAAGGGACGGAGCCAACGCACTGAGCCAGTATAAGAAATATTTTTGGGAAATTTTTACACTAAATTATTACACTAGCTTAAAATAATAACAATTTTTAAATTTGGGGTGAAGCGGGGCCTAGGTTGGCCCCTCCCTAGCTATGCCCTAGTTGTATGTATATTAAAGTGCAGTTCCAATAAAAATGGTGTTCTCATACATTGTTGACATATTTAAAGTCATTTGATCGATGGCTCGATGCATTGGATTTCTAACTTTTCATGAAAGTTCTGTGTGCACGCATACGTCTTAAAAACTTATCCTTTCTGGGAAGCGTGAACGTATATACTCTGTACTATTTTTTTTTTATCAATATATACTTCGTATAATGAAATCCAATATGATACTTTGTTAAATTGCCATTGTATTTTATCAAAGTGATTGAAGTGGTTTATTTCTGGAAAAATTTCTGAAATAGGAGTAAAAACATTTCAAGAAATGTTTTTCATTTGAGTTGTTTTCCCCTTTTGTCTCTCAGTGTGGCATGCACATGCATGGATGGATGGATGTAGGGCTGATAGAGTCCCGGGACTCGTCAGTTCCAGGGGAGGAGCTGGATCGGAATTAACGGTTCCGCGACGGGATCAAGACTGGACTACTGAGAACAAAGTCCAATCCCGAATCTCAAATGTTTAGACCTGGACTGACTTGTCTCAATTATGGTCCTATTTTTTTCATTGCATTACAATCATTATGAAGCATGTTAAAAGACTAGGTGTAAATCCATCAATTAAAAGCTTGAAATGGGTAGGCATGGGGTGAGGGAGGTTTAAAAATAATCTTACCTAGCAATGTTGTTCACAAGAATGAATTAGGATGAATTCAAACGTATGCCCGTTTTATACTCCCAACCCCAACTTCATTTTCCCCTTCACTATTCTTCTTGTTGAGGCGAAATCAATGTACTATCTCCCTCCCATTTTATGTGTCTTAGTTTGACTTGACACGATTATTAATGAAGTAGTAGAAAAAGTAAAGGTAAAACTGTCAAATAGGTTAACGAACTTTCATAAAAAAGTCAATTAAATCCTTCTGTAGGAGACTCTGTCCGGTCTTCGCGATTTGGGGCGGTTCCCGATGGAATTTTTTGATGAAATTTTTTGAGCATCTTATTCATCAAGTCTAGTTTACTCATACCAAATTTCAGCTAAAAATTTAATCGGGAGCGCATTCAAATTAATTCGAGAACACAAAAATGTGCAGTTATCTTCAAGAATTAATTTGAATGTGTTCCCGATTGCATTTTTAGCTGAAATTTAGTTTGAATAAACTAGACTTGGTGAATAAGATGCTCAAAAAATTTCATCAAAAAATTCCAACGGGAACTGCCCCAAATCGTGACGGCCGGACAGAACCTCCTATAGAAGGACTTAATTGACCTTTTTATGAAAGTTCGAGGACCGATTTGACAGTTTTCCCAAAAGTAAAAGTTGTGGTTGAGATTTGATCGAGTATAACAAAGTGAAATGGTGTAGACCACTTATTTCATTCCAAAAAAGAAAAGGAAATACTTATTTTGGGACAACCCAAACAGGAAAGTATGACAGGTAAAATGGGACGGAGGGAATAATACCTATTTAATTTCAACACCATTTCCATTATATGTGGGTTCTCTAGATTGGAAGATAGAAATGCTATCGGAGATGAAGATCAATGGGGAAGAGGAAAGTTGTGGCAGGGATTGGAAGTAATAATGATGTTTTTACTTGGACTCAAAATGGATGGTCTGATCTGATCTAGTCTGTTTAAGTCTGGTATGGTCTGGTCTGAGACTGAAAACAGTCTAAGTAAAAACATTCCAAAAAAGACATTAATTTGGATTCACCCCAATTTACTAACGTGGACTGACGTGCACTTTGTCGTGATGTGCACTCAAAATAATAATCAATACGACACTAATACGTAGTATAGTGAAGTAAGGTTCGTGTCCACAGGGAAAGGAATACTTTTCTTCTTACAGAAATAGATAAGTAACAATAAGGGGGGTTTATATTTGGTTGATGAACTTTAAATTATATTTCAACATGAAGATGAACGAGTTATGTAGTTTAATTAATGAGACGAAGACTTAGCTTTGCTTTTATCCACTTAATGAAATGTTCGTCGATCCCGGTTATATCTTTAACTATCTTCCTCTCGAATACTCAATCGAGGAGTATATCCAATTCATCGAGGGTAGTTATTAATAACGAGACGCGTTCATTAATAAAACTTACTACCGAGTTAATATAGAACACGCGCCGTATATTTACTCGATAGTAGCAATAAAATCAAGATGAAAACGATTGAGATTGATAACCTCAACACAAGCGGTTTATTGGTTTAATCAATATAATTAATTCCCCTTGGCTTATTAACCATGAGACGCATGCATTAACAACCCAAGTTTACTACCGTGAAGGGACCGAGTTAATAACAAGCGTATTAATTGACCGATTCTAGTATTAATTAATATATGAAACAAAACTAGTTGATCCTTTAAGTATTGCTCAAAATATTAATATGTAATAGGAATAGGAATTAATTAATATTCAAGGAAGAAGATTAAAGAAAATAACTCACAACTTACAATTCATTAAGCTTCAAAGTAGCAAAACCAAGATGGAAGAGTTTAGCTCCTCATTTGGAGACTAAACATGATGAAAAATATAAAGAAAGAACTTGTCTAAACTGAGCTAAAAGGTATATGTGAATTGGTTCCCTTATTATGGAGGAAATGGGGTGTATTTATAGGCTTTTTGGGCTTGCAGGGTCATGTACCCGATCGGGTATATTGGGTACTCGATCGGGCCTTCAGTTGCTTCGCGGAAGCTGGAAAAACATGGGCATACCCGATCGGGTATGTCGGCTACCCGATCGGGTATAGACACTCGATCGTGGTTAAAATCTTCCCTGCATGTTGCCTTGTTCGCGGATTTATCCGATTTGATTTTTCAGCAACTTACCCGATCGAGTATAGGGTATACTCGACCGGGTACAACACCAAAAATCAGGATCTTCATTTTGTTTTGGAATTTTTGCACCTTCCTTCCACTTGTGATGTTCACCAATGGTCCCTAGAGTGGTCTTGGACCTGTTTGAGCTCAGAACAAACCTAATCTAAACAATTTACAAACATTTTACAAACTAAACTATTACACCAAAAGTGTGTAATTTCTAGAGTAACAATCACTCAAAACTAATCAAAAGCACAATTATAAACACAGAAATAACATGAATGTCAACTCCCCCACACTTAGTTCCTTTACTCGACCTCGAGTAAAACCAAATGTTTACACAATGTTTCTCAAAAGATCATGAGTTCAAAATTTGGAGGAAATAAGGAACTAAAACCAACAAGTATTGTAAATGAGTTTACAAAATAACATCTCCTTGGGTTTAATGGTCTTCAATGCCCCTTACTTCTTTTTCTCCTCTTCTTCTTTTCTTCTTCTTCTGCCTCTCCAAGAGATAGTGTCCTGCAAAAACAAATTTTTTCTCTCATATCTCTCATTTTGCCTAGGAGTCTTTTCAGGTTTTCATCCTAGCATCTCTTTTCTTTTTCTTTCCTTACCACTCACTCATAATTTTTTGTAAGCCCTTGTTGCTTAGATTGCC